ATAATTTTATAATATTTATTATATTTTATTAATAAAAAATTTATTTAGAAGTTCTATTTATTTGTACAAAACTATCTTTGAATGTCATTTAATATGAAATTCAACAAATTCATTTATTTAAAAATAATCAACATTGGTTTTGATGATAAAATTACGAGAATATATATGTATATTAATAATTACTCTATTTTTTGTAATATGTAAAATTAGAGTGTCATAATTGTAATTGAGAAAAATTGAAGTGTTAGATATGCAAATATATGTATTGTATGATGTTTATATAAATGACACTTAAGTTATCAAGCAAGTTTTTTTATTTATTAAATATAATAAATCAAATTTAATTCTATTTTTAATGCAATTTGGAAGGATATATATATATTAGTTAGAATTTATTTGAAGATGAATGACAAAATGTCTTTAGTCTCATAAGGGTTTTTTTGGGTTACTTATAATGCATTTTATAAGGAAGGATATATATATTCCTCTCTTGCATATCACTGGAGATCGAGATTCAAGTGAAACTGGAGAGGGAGAGGAAAAAAAAAAGGTACATTTACATACATACCTTCTAATTCTCGTATATTTACATAACCAACACCTAAATTTTACTTTTTACATTTATACCACTGATATCTTTCAAGTCATGTAAAAAATACTTCCATTTTAACTTTACATTAGATGATTGCCTGGATCATCGTAAAATAGGGCCAAGGGAGTCACGCCTACAGGCTTAGATGGAGATAAATATGCATCATTCTATAAGAGCCAATTACTGTAAATAGAGGACATTAAGCGTAAACGTGCATTAGGCTCTTTAATATTACGTCAGAACTCCGAACGTAGAGTTACATTCGGATTGCAATAGTCATTGTGTTATAAAAATATTTCATCAGAGTTATTTGTGAAAAATGAAGTGTTATTGAAATATTCACCCACGTTACTTAATCTGGGACTGATTCAAAAAACATATGGAAATTGAAATAATACGGGGAATTTGCTGAATAAGACAACCCCAAATCAAGTAACGCGGTGTAATATTTTAATAACATCGCAAAGTAATTGAGTAACACCACATAATACTCGAATAACACTTCATTTTTTACAAATAACACTGATGAAATATTCCTGTAATTCCTGTAATACAACAAAATATTTATATAACATAGCGACTTGAAATTCAAACGTTCCTCTACGTTCGGAGTCCTGACTTAATATGCGCTTCTTGAGATATAAAGTCCTACTTATAGCATTTTGTTACCTTAATATTTTGAACGCTGTTAGTCTAGTAGTATTATAATGATATCGATATACAATATTATCACAAATACAACCCGTATACTACCTTGTCATTTGATATTTTAATGATATTATTGTACATTACCACCTCAATACCATACCATCAGTTTGCACATAATTCACATCCATATAAAAAACATAAAGAATATTAAAAAAATAAAATAAAAAAGAGGCATTAGCATTCATAGCACACATTTATTTATATATCACACAACCTAAACATTTATATTTACATGCATAACAATCAAATTTTCATTCACATCAAAAATAACACCACCTCTTTTTAAAAGTGAAATATTTCCTTTTTATGCATAAATTTATAACATCCAAATGTTATGTATATAAAAATGAATGTTGAGGTGAGAGATGTATTTATGTACATGAGTTTAAAACCAGTTCCACATACTTGTGACCCGGGCTCTAGTCACATCTCACTTGAGCTTGGCTAGTTAGTCGAGCTACAAGCATGATATTGAGTCAAGCTCAAGCTACAAACTCGGTCTCTCTCACGAGCTCAAATGATGTCATCATGGAAGCTCAACGAAGAAGGTGAGACAACAAGAGAGGAGAAATCTATCGCTGCAACTCACTAAAGAAGACATCAATGTGAACAAAATTTGGTTAGTCAAGTCTATTCCTGAGTTACCAATGCAAGCCTCGACGAGCTTGAGCAATATGTAACCTCTCAAAAGAGCCCTTAAGAGAGGTGGGCAACCCATGACTTAAATATTGATTTTCGGCTCTACACCTAGTCGATATGAGACTATTTGTCCGTGACATTCTCCTCCACCCAATCACGTGACGCTCTCGTCACGGATCAGCTCCACGGACGGTCCCACTGGACCATGGAGAGTCCACACACCTAACAAACATTAATCTGCTCAGATACCACTTGTCACCTCCTAAAAGAGCCCTTAAGAGAGGTGGGCAGCCCAAGACTTAAATACTGCTTTTCGGCCCTACACCTAGCCGATGTGGGACTATTTATCCATGACATAGAGCTCTTTTGTAAACAATCTTAATTTTGAGCTCAAGTGCAAGCTCGTAGCTAAAGAAGCTCAACTTGTGAGCTCATTAGCCTACCAGATGAGCACATTTATCGAATCAAAAACCATAAGAGAAGAAGTGCAAAAAATTTCCAGTATAATTGGCGCAGTTAAACACACAACAAGTCAAATACATACCTGCAACAGAAACTAGATGTCACGAGCCAAAAATTAAAACAAAAAATAAATCGATGGATATAAAATTATAAATATATCTATTCTGTTTATATATCAGCGAAAACAAAATATAGATTAATATTCCTGAATCTGAAAAATCAATCCGTCTGCATAGTTCAATCATGATCCACCTGCTAACATAGAAGTGCTCCTTTGATTGCGTCAGCCCTAACACATAACAGGAATTGTTATAGCTTTTCTCTTTACATGCCAACTTAAGGGTTTATGAATAGGAGGATTTACATACATAACACTCAATTTATGTATTTACATGTCTTAGCACCTAAACTTTTGATTTTTAAATTGATGACCCGTTATTACAATTTAAAAAAAAAAAAAAAACTATTGCTAGGGGTGTAAACGAACTGAACAGGAGCGAGCCCAGACCCCAGCTCGTGTTCGGCTCGTTAATATTTCGAGCTCAAAAAGTGTGTTTGCGTTCGGCTCATTTGCTTAGTGAGCCGTTAACGAACAAAGAGTCATTTTGACAACCTTAATCGCGTATTCATAAGATGTTAAGGCTTGGGACAAGATTTAAAACATCATTTGAATCTAATTTAATAATTTTTATTCTATGTTCTTTATTAATACTTTTAATTGATTATAAATCTTTGTAGTTTTGTAGTCAATTATTTTTTTTTAAAAATACTGCTCATAAAATATATATATATATATATATATATATATATATATATTCGAACCAAAACGTGCCGAACACGAACGAACAAATATTTGTTTAGGTTGTTCGTGTTCGGCTCGTTAACTTAGCGAACGAGTCAAACACGAGCTTCTTAACGAGCCGAACACGAGCTGTTCGCGAACAACGAGCCGTTTTGACAGCCCTAATTGTGGCATTTTTTTATGGGATGGAAAAATTTTTGGTGGTAGAAATGTAAAAAAGAAAAGATTTAAGTGTTAGATATGTAAATACATAGAAATCGAGTGTTATGTATGTAAATGTCCCTTATGAAAATTGTAAACAGAAAGCATTAAATTATTAAATTACCCTAGAGGCAATGTTGCTGGAGAGCCAATCGAGCCCCTCATAGAGGCCTTCACCGGAAGTGGCGCAAGCGCTCTGGATGTACCTGAAAATCAAATATATCCAACAATCAATTAGTTTTCTCAGAATCACACCGAAGAAAAAGCACCGAATTAAAAAGAGATACGCCCCATTAAAAATAAAAATTAAAAATGGAAGATTTACATATATACCCTAAACGCAATTCTTATATATGTACATATCTAACATGTAAAGTATGAGATTTGCATATTTTTTATGCAATTTCAAAAATTTGAATGACATGTATGTAAATGTTACAGTTTAGGTGCTAGATGCGTAAAAACATACGAATTGTGTGGTAATGCAGGTAAATGCCCCATGAAATAAAATGTTAAGATTTACACACATACCACTCAACTCCCTATGTATTTACATATCTAACATCTAAACAGCAATTTTTACATACATGCGAGCGTACTTGTGCATGAAAAGTTATATTTCACTTCTAAAAAGTTATAATAGCGGCATCTTTGATTTGATATGAAAGATTTAGGTGGTATAAATGTAAAGTTTAAATGTTAGATATAAATACATAGGAATTGGGTGGTGTCTATGTAAATGCCTCTAAAAAAGAAAAACTTGAAAAAAAAAGGTTGTGAGGATATGAATTGGAAAAGAAATTGCCATACCAGTGCCGCTGGCGAAGAGAATGGAGGCCAAGTTTATCGGTAATTTCAGCGGCATTCATCGCATTTGGTAGGTCCTGTTTGTTTGCAAACACGAGCAAGGCGGCATCTCGCAGCTCATCCTACAAGAACAGAAAAAATTGATTAACTAAAGTTTCATGTATGTTAATATGCAAATGACTATGGCGTGAAGTCAGAAGTTTAAGTGTGAGCACGCAAGAGAGAGAAAAAATACTATTCTTTTGGAAGAACTGGGGGTGTGAACGAGTTGGAGTCGAGCTCGAGCTATCTTTGACTTGAGCTTGAGCTTAATTAAATAATCGAGTTCGAGCAAAAACCGGAGCTTAAATCTCTAAATTTGAGCTGGCTTGTTATTACGAAATAGATAAAATAGTATTAATCTAATCTAACATTATAATAAAAGAAAAATTACATATGTAGCACAATTCTTATGTATTTACACCTAAAATTTTATATTTACATATATAAAACATTTTGGTGCTTCAAACTTTTTAAATTTATGCATAAAAAGATAATATTTAACTTTTAAAAAGTGATAATAGTGATATTTTTAATGTGATATTAAATATTCGAGTGTTATGTGAATAACTATGAATGTTCAGGTGTGAGAAAAGTGAATATTAAAAAAAAATTTTGAGTGTTGTGTTAAAAACAATAAAATTAAGTGATATGACAAATAAAATGCTCAATTACGAGATAAATCATATGAAATTACTTGAATTTTAATATTCTTTTAGTATATTTTACATTAATATTTTGTTAAACGAGTCGGTTCATAGGCTAATGAGTCAATTTGAAGTTTAGTTGAGCTTGACTTATTGGCTCATTGAGCTCAACTCAAGAGTCATTTATCAAGCCGAGCCCGAGCCGGCTCGCAAATCGGCCTGGCTCAGTTACACTTGGCAAGAAACATGAGAATGAGCTTCTCTTATTGTAAACAAAAAAAGTGTGTCTTCGCTCTATCAAATTTGTAATAGTCCTTGAGATTGAGGCCAGGGAATAGAATCATACTATTTGTGTGGTGCTATGCAATAAGGGCAATCCATACTCTACTAATCAATAATTTTACAAGATGCTCCCAAAAACTATATTGTATATAAGAAAGAGTTGTTTGTGCTTCATCGAACAATGAAGCATTAGCGACCTTATCTATTGGGGAGGTGAATGAGCTCCAAATCGACCACAAGGTGCGCACAAAAAGAATCCCAAGGGTAATATAAATATATTTACGAGCCTAATTTATAGGGGTTGAGGACAATATGCCAGTGATAGCCAAGAAGCAAACAAACGAATAATGATCATACTCCTGTTTAAGTGGCTTTGACGCTCAACAATCCAACAACGACCCAAATGATGAAAAACCAAGAAAAGCAATGCTTGTTGCAATAACCGAATTAGTGAACCAGAAGTTGAAACTCTATATGGTTGGTAGGCCAATGTTTGATAAACTTAACATGAGGACTGCTCTTATAAGATATGAGTGCACCTGTAATGGCCTGATTTTGAGATTTGGTAAATTATGTGTATTGTATTCGATTAATTTGACTGTATATTTTACATCTAATTCATAAAACGTTTTCACCATACTGTAGAAAACTCTCCACTCTATTTTAAATATATTTGTATTATTTTTATAACATTATAGATATTAAAACAAAAGGTTTCTTATTGAATTTGACTTTCTAAAAAAAATTAAGATATTTTTGTAAAATAAATTTTTTGTAACAATGCAATGTCCATCTTATGAATCATTTTCATCAAAACAGTGCATCATTTATTGACTCTTTTTTATAATATTTAGATTTCTATATTTCAAGATATAAGATAATTTATATAAAATTTTACATTAAAACAAAATATTTATTGCAATTCATTTATACATTTTGATTAAATATTTAAAAAATTATTATGAATATCCTAATTCATTATCCAATATATCATTTCCATATTGTTTTGCTTAACCACGAGCTATTTAGTGAAAGAATAAAAATGATTTAGGGGGCAAAAGTTGATTTTAAAGGCTTAAAGCCAATTTCATCAGTCAGACAAGTTATGACTATTGTTTGGCTCTAAGCATGCCCTATTAACCAACTTCATAATTTATTTTTGGTATCATTTTCTTCAATTTGGGCATTCCATTCGATCAGGTTTAGAAAGAAAACTCAAATCTACAAAAAAAATTATAAAATTTTCACCGTAAAACTTTTGTTATGTTGTAGAATAAATTGTAATGATCGTATTAATATAAAAAAATTAATTTTTTATCATATGTTTTATATTGTATAACATTTTATGTATTTTAAAGGGTATATTAAACTTAATAATTTTTTCTAAGGCAGGAAAAAAAATTCATAGTATTATTGTATAAACCGGCTTTGTGGATTGTGACTATTGTTTTGTGTATATCTACCAAATTATGCATGGATAATATTAAAACCCAACCACTATTCTAGTCTATTTCAATAAAGAATAAACCAATTGTTCTATTTGGACGCAAAGCAGCAGAAAACTTCGACGTTCATGTTTTATTACCCTCTGAAGTTTACCATTTCTATCTATACAATAAAAATGAGGAAACAAACTTCACAACATGGAGTGAAGAAGACTTAATATGTAACAAAAAGTATAGCTATATCTATCAACAAGTACGGTAATGATCTTACCTCACTTAACATCCGGTGCAGCTCATCCCTGGCCTCAATAACACGTTCTCTGTCATTACTGTCGACAACAAAAATGAGACCCTGCGTATTTTGGAAGTAGTACTTCCACAAAGGTCTGATCTGTTTTTGTTTCAAGCAAAAATGGGATAATAAATATTAGTATACGCAAAGTTTTCAATTAACAATCATGATAGACACAAAAAAATCATGGTTCATGGTGCTTTTCTGTGCTACACTGCCCTTGCATGAACCTTATAACATTTTCACTTATAAAGAAGAATTACTTTACAAGAAAATGGATACCTTATCCTGACCACCAACGTCCCAAACAGTGAAGCTAATGTTCTTGTACTCAACAGTCTCAACATTGAACCCTGCAATACGAAAAAAAAAAAAGGGTTAAGAACTCTATAATCATAAAATATTACAGCATCTTTTATGAAGGATAAACATGGCAGGAGAGGAAAAAAAAAAAGTAGGTGTTTGGAATCAACGCTCAACCACGCTGTTAAGACTCAATTTATATGATGAGTTTGGGCATGTTCAGCTTTTGACACGTTTAATTTTGAGAGTTGTATAAACCATTGGCTTTTAAATTTGGAGTCTAGGGTTTGATATTTTTTAGATATTTTACTATTCTTGAAATACAATGTTGTTTAAAGTTCCACAAAAACAATTTACAACAGCAACAAGCCTTTATCCCACTAAGTGGGGTGGTTGGCTACATGAATCTTTTTTCTCCATTGCGCTCTATTAAGTGTCATATTTTCATTTAATTCTAATAGATTAGATCATTTTTTATATAATATGCTCAAGTAAGTTTATGTCTATCTATGCCTTTCTTAATATAAGTCGAATCTAAAACATCTAATCTCCTAACCGGATCATGAGATGATTGGTGTTTAATGTGACCAAACCATATAAGAAAATTCTCTCTAATATTATCCGTCACTAGAGCTACTCCAACCCTATCATTGATATATTCATTTCACATTTTGTATCTAGTGGTCAAGCCATTCATCCACCTAAGCATTCTCTTCTCAACAACACTTGACTTTGTGTTATGCTTCTCTTTCAAAGTCAACAGCCTGCGCCATAGTGCATTGCAGGTTTCACCATCATCGGATAAAAATTTTTCTTTCAGTCTAAGCGTTACTTTTTCTATCATAAAATAGGGCCGATGCATTCCCAACTTGTATTCTGCTAATAACATCTGCATCTATATCACCAACACTTTGAACAATAGACTCAATATATCTAAAATATTCACACATTTAAATGATTTAAATACCCATAGTTACAGCCATGCCACTAGAGCTACCACTATTAAAATTAAATTCTATGTATTCGATTTTAGATCTACTCAAATGAAGGCCTTTAGACTCCAACGTAGTCCTTCATAATTAATTTTTTTTCGTGAACTCTTTCTCTAGTCTTATTCACAAGAAAAATATCACCAGTGAAAACCATACACGAAGGTACATCCTCCTGTAAATGTCCACTAAGAGCAGCCAAAAGAGCAATTTACTGTGAATCTTAAATTCCTAAAGCAAATTATAACATATGATAGAACTGAATCAGGTTGTTGAACATATAATTATAACTTCGATTAAGGGTCTTTTTGGGGCAGCTGCAGCTTATCCAACTTATACTGATAAGCAGCTTATCCTGATAATCTGCTGATAACCAGCTGATCCGGATAAGCTGACTGACTGTTTAGTTTGTGCGTTTGGAAAACAACTGATTCTGGATAAATGACCAATCTGCCCCTGTTTTGGATAAGTTGTTTAACTGTTTGGTTTGCGCGTTTTGTAAACAGCTTATTTGCAGATTTTTTAAGTTAAATGAAAAAACTGGCACACAAAAGTTGTAATGTCTATCCCTCAGCTATTTTAGAACCAATTAGTCCATTTCAGACTCATTCGACACATACATACCACCTAAAAATTGTTATTTAAAAAAATAAATTCTAGCAACAGAAAACATAATATCAGGTAGAAAAATGTTCAAACTGCTACAAAATACCGATAATAAAACAACCCATCCCAAGTGCTTGCCCAACTCATAATGCATATGAATTTATTTTCTCAGTCATATCTATAAATCGTCTCAGTGGCAATCAACAAAAAAAGAAATAAACCACTTCATTTACATCCAACCAAATAGAATGCATAATTATGTTTCCTGTTTAGAAGCAATCAAATGGGGCATGTAGAAGAATTTGTAATAGTTCCCTGCAAAGCAGATAAATACTAGGAGAGCCTCGTCCAAGTTAAAAGAAATAAATACTGCAACCAACTGCACCTTATACAACTCAAACCAATCTGGAGGAAGCTAAATTCCGCATGTTCAGCATCTTATACAACCAACTGCACCTTATAAAATTTTCCATGAATATGATACAGGTAGGAGTCAAATTCAATATGCAATATTAAGAATTTTGAAGCATGCAACACCTTGCATCACAGATAATGCCATATGAACAATGCAAAGGCTATTTTGTCATGTTAAAGAAAGTTGCTTCCTATAGAACTCCCACAACATTTATCAGGAAGTTGATGCTTCGGGCTTCAATATCTATAACCACATTGCCTGTCATGGCCATTGAATTGAACTTTAACGAACAACTAATTAAAGCTCAGAAGAACGTAACTGAATCAAACCAGCTATGCGACAATCTTCATTACAGATTCTGCAACTAGATATATTAACTTGTTCTAGCTAGAAACTTTCTTCTTCAGCCCAAGCCAAGAACTGTGATAATATTTTATAAACTCCCATATCTCTTATACAAAAGAAAATAGAGGAGCTGCGCAACTCTCTGGAACCGCCAACTACTAAAAGAATTAACTTGAAGAGTATTGGTCCACTGCAGCATAAATATTCAACAATTTACTTACCTTACACCAAGATTTACCCAATGCGAAAGCCACTGCTTTTCCAATTGCTCTAGAAGCTCCAGTAACAACAACAATGGGATCTTCAACAATTTACTAATAAATTATAACCAAATGAATTGCAGGAAGACAAAATCAGATTTTTAATTCACTCTTTAACGGACAAAAATGAAAATGTGAGGCAAATACCAGAGAAAGAGGAATGGGGCGCCAGGAAATGGAAGCGGGGGCATGCGGATG